GGAATGTTTCTTAAAAGCTTCACCCCAGAGCTCAGTATGTTTTGTACAGCTTAAGACAATGCATCTTATCTTAGTATCAGTGCCACTGAGCATCTGGTGAGGGCAAGTCCATGGAATGAGAATCCAAAAGCTTCTGTAACAGTCCGAGATTGCACAGGAATACATTGACCAAATCTCCACCTGCAGCCCCAATTTACATATAATTACTAAATATGCAGATTTATTCTTTTTTCCACCCTACTGAGTTTCTTTCACCTTGCTAATGAATTTCTACAGTTAAAAGCAGAGCCTTTCTGACTCCTCACCAGCTCATCAACATGAAAACAGGTTTGCACTGCAGAGTTCCTCAGTACCAGCCCTGCCATGAGGGCAGTTTCCAGCATATGAGTTTAATATAGAGTAGAATTCCCTATGGAACAGCAGCAACCGAGGAAGAGTGTGCACATGTGCAGACACAGAGGTGTCTGTGTTATTCACAGAAAACGTGTACATAGGTATGTACATAGACATAGTTATATATTGTGCTGCTGTTTCAGGCTTTTAAACCCTCCCTTGTTTCATTTCAGTTCTCTGAGCACTTACACCATACAATCATCTTTTAAAATGTCGTAGTACAGAAGATTATGTGCTGGAGAGAAAGGGAGGAGAGGGAAAAGAATGTGATGTTATATTATGCAACAAGAGCCAGCTAAAAGGCTCTCTAAACACAAACAGTGCTTTATAAAAAGGAAGATTATGCCATGTTTCCATGTTCAGGTTGAAAGAAATTGGTCAGATGGCTGCTCTCTCCATAGTAAGCAAATTCCTCCTTCCTCCACCAAAACTAATATATATATATATGTGCATATATGTGTATATATATATTAACCTTGTGGCCCAGGAAAGCAGTCCATGAATCACAGCAGCCAAGCTGGTGTCTAAGGGGCCCACCTGGGCAGCTGGCTCACCTGGGCACCGTGCCTGCAGGATGCAGAGGTGAGCTGTGCTGAGCACCTGGTTCCTTCTGCTCAGGGGGTCAGTAGAACAGAGTTCTCCAGCCTGAGGGAAGTCACTCCGCGGACACTTAACGAGCACAAGGCAGAGTCCACACATCAGAGCATTTCTACAACCAGGCAAGTCCTCATACAGTCACATGTGTCAGTCTGGAGGAAGTCATCAGTGAGGGAAACAGGTAAAAACGTTCACAGGATGACAGGCAAGAGCAACCAGAAAAAGTAATATCCCAAGTGTCAGTATACAGTGAACTAAAACTTATGAATGAGCTGTGGAACACTAAACAGGGACACCTTACTCTGTCCTTAGTGTGAGTTCCACCTCCCTCTACCCTGCTACACGAGCCTGCTTTAGTCATAGGGCAGCTTTGCAAGGAGACCATCAAAAGCAGGAGTTCTTCCCCCCTTAGTTTCAAAGTAAAACCCCTGGAATTAACACCAGCTTCCAGCACCCAGCCTTGCTTAGGTGTGCGTGGGCTGGGAGGTGCAGAGGGAAAGCTGCTTACCATGAAACAGGTGAGGCACAAGAGGTACTGGATGCTGAACCTCCTTAGACAACAAGGGAAGGGACCACACTCAAAGGCAGCTCCACGTTCTGGTGCTCTGCCCAGCTTACAGGGGAGCACTACCAGCACTCTGAGCCTGCCAGGAAGAGCTCTGAGCCAATGCTACATTTCCCATGAACAGTGGGAGGCATGAGAAAATGGGCATATGCCATTAAAGATGTCATATAGACACTGGTTTTAAATGCCAGGGGTAAAGATGGAGGCAAGAGGGAGGAGGAGAGCTGTAGAGCTGTGCAGCTGGCACTGGTATGCAGAGGTGTTTTTTGACAAGGTGGTTGCTGTTGGTAGGGGTGAGGTCTGTAGGAGGTCAGCTTAGAGCAGCTCTTACTTTTGCCAGTAAACAAGAAAAGGACTTCAGATTCTACTCCTTCCTTTCTAGAGAGCATGACGTTGTTTTCAAGACCTTTTTTTGTCCTACAGCTCTACGGGGAGGCACAGCTATATGGTGGTGAGGACATGCCTGCTGCTGCCCTCCTGCCTGTTCAGACCAACACCTTCACCCCAGGTGATGATGCCAAGCTCTTGAGCGGAAAGAAGAAGAACTATGCACTTAGTCAAGTTTGGACAGATCCTCTGCTTTTCAATCTCATTTGGTTCTCAGTGTGGAGCTCTGTAGTGATGGTTCAGTTGAGATGACTTGCAACTCTGTCTTCTTATTGCCCAACAGCCAAACAGCTCAGTGCAGCGGAAGGGCTGGTGCAGGAGGAGGACGGTGATGCTGTGAGGTGATCCCCATGCTTCCCATTGCTCCTAACACACTTTAACGTACCTCATGCATTTCTGATTTCCTAACTAAAATCTGTTTCCCACAGAGGCCAAATGTTGAATTGCAAGCACAGATCTTCCTGTGGCTCAGTGCCCCTGGACTGGCCTGAGTCAGTTAAACAGCAACCAGGCCATCTCCAGGGAAAGGGGCTGGAGACTGACTGGGAGCTCTCTCTGCGGGTTTGTACTTGTCTTGGTCCCAGAAGGCAAAGGCTGTTCCCTCCCTGGAGAGGAGCTGCTGGTTTTACTTTGGAACCAGCCCTCGTGACTCTGGGTAGTGCTGAGAACCATGGGCACCTGCTGATGAGGATGCCACAGATTTCCTTCCAGTTTTCGGCCTGAGGAAGTGAAAATGAAAATACGAACAAAAAAAAGCTCTAACAACGTCACCTGTTACTTTCTGAAATTAACCTTCAAAAAGCTGGTTTGTTTTTTTTACTGGATCAGTTTCAGCTTCCTCTTCTGCCCTATGTCCTACACAACTATCTGAAAGGAGGTTGTGGTGAGGTGAGGATTAGCCTTATCCCCCAAGTGACAAGTGACAGGACAAGGGGAAATGGCCTCAAGTTGTACCAGGGCAGGTTCAGGTTGAATATTATGAAAGATTTCTTCACTGAAAGAGAGAAGCATTGGAACAGGCTGCCCAGGGTAGTGGTGGAGTCACCATCCCTGGAAGTCTTCAAAAAATGAGGGGATGTGGCACCTTTACAATACGGTTTAGTGGGCAGGGTAGGATTTGGGCAGGGTTGGACTTGATGATCTTGGAGGTCTTTTCCAGCCTTAATGATTCTATGTTCTTTTTTCTCTCTCTGACAAGAAGTGCTGACAAACAGCGACTGTCCTTGCACCTCTCCTATGGGCCAGATCTGCTTACTGAAGGTCCAACTCACCTGGGTTTTGATTTTTTATTTGAGGTGCTCTCAAAGTTTGAGGCATCCACCTGAATCTCATCTTCATCCTGCAGAGCTGCTTCCAAAGCTGCTTGAACTTTGGGAGCGATGGCTGGAGCCTCGTAGTCCCTCGTCGTTCGGCTGGGCCTATCCAATTCCAGTAACACAATGTTCTCTGCCTGAGAGAGTAAAAGCAGAATCAAAGTCTCAATGTTTTCTTACAAAATCTACTTTTCCATCCAGAAGCTCATTCTGAAGTACTTCATAAATGTATGCAGGACACTGTACAAATTTACACCCCACAGATGAACACATGATGTTCTGAAATTCACATTCCCCTGCTCAGAAGGGTGAGGATGCAAAGGTTGGAACCACATCTGGGCTTACCCTGTACCGAGCCACTGGGTGAATCATCATGGATTTCCTGGCATGTCGGCTCAGTGGCCTTTTGTATCCCACGGCAGATACTGGTCTTTTCATCATCTGCTGGTTGCTGTAGAAAAACAGAGACTCAGTCTGTTATACCCCAAAACCAAAGGCTCCTCTTAGAGTTTATGAGCTACAACATCTGCAAATTCCACACAGAAATCTGTTTCAAGAGAGCAGAAACTACCCAGGCTGCATTTGCAGAAGCAGGAAAGAAACCTGATAGGAAGGTACTGCTATTTTAAGGGTGAATACACTGTTACATCTGTTTTGCATAGAATTATTTGGCTCACCTGAATGAAAAATCCTAATCTTCCAAGAATTCTCCTAACTGTACATTTCTATTTTACTAAGAGGAATAAATTGTTCCATTTTATTGTGCAGCAAGAAGCTATGAACTCTAGAGGGCCAGTTGAAATCCCCAGTTCAGTCTCTCTTTTGGGCTACCTTGTCCTGGGCAGCTAAGGGGTTTCCTGTGTCCTATAATTCCATCACAAGAAATGAGCAGAAGTATACTCACTCCAGACGGGTTATGGGATGCAGTTTCCAGTGGTCTTCCTCTTCATCAAAGAATGATCTGTTCATGATCTTATTCTTTTCTTCCAAGGGAATAAAATTTTCAATAATCAGGTGCCTACATGCAATCATGAAAATGAGAAATACACAAGAAACATAATTAGAAGATGACTTTCCCCACTGCTCCTCTCCTGCTGACGTAATACAGCCCTGGAAAAGGAGGAGTGGGTTAGTTTTCTCATGTGTAGATTTTGTTCCACAAAGATGTGCAAGGCAGTCCCTTCACTCCCCACCCAGAGAAACCCTCTCTGTTGCAGTTAATAGCAGGTGATGGAGTGATGTGACTTACTTTAGCTTTAGTTCCCTGGTAAGTTCATTCTGGGTCTGTTCCAGTTCCTGACGCTCTTTGATGTGCTCTTCTTGGAGATCATGGATCTCTGCCTTCACAGCTTGCAGCTTGGAAAATAACTGGAACAGACAACAAGAGCCAAAACTCATCACTTGCCAACATTCCTCTCACTTACACACACAAGCTGATTTTATTCCCAGCCCACTAGACAGGGAATCATCTTCTTTTTACCTTTTTGAGTTTTTTGGTCTTTATGTCCACCTCTTGCTGAAGAGAACTATAGGTCTCCTTCAGCTCTAGGGTTTCCTCATCCTGACTTTCCATCTGTTGCTGGATTTCTCGCTCCCGACGTTTCTGAAGAACATGACACACAGCATTAAGGACCACCATGCCCTTGACACTTCCAGCTGACACACCTGAAATGAACACTCAGAATGGTTTTACTTCCCTGCCTTTCTAGGGCTTCTCATTTACCTTCCAGTTCTTCCCATCCCTTCCCAATACCAGAAACACCAATTCTACTTTATCCTTGTTTTGCTGTTGAAATCAGGTAGTGAGAATAAGTGCTCAAGATTGAACTAAAGGAATCAAATGTCATTTTTAGATTACTTTTTACTTTTCTTTTTATCAATTTATACTAGTCATTGCATTTCAGAATCACCATCAGAAACTGCATTACAGAACATAAACTTTTAGCCCAGAGTAAACCTCTCTCCCTTGAGCTAAAGGCTGAACTGGTGCCCTCAGAGCTCTTACAATTATTTCTTCCCTTACACACAGCTCCAGTCAAGACAGGATGTAAATCTTTAAAATGAAGAGCTAGAAGGAAACTATTTAGTTAGGAAACTAGTTAGTTAGTTCCTAACTTTGTTAGGAGCTGCAGTAATAGAACAAAGGGTAACAGATTCAAATTGAAGGAGGAGAAATTTAGGTTAGATATTAGGCAGAAGTTTTTCCCTGTGAGGGTGGTGAGACACTGGCACAGGTTGCCCAGGGAAGCTGTGGTTGCCCCAACCCTGGCTGGGTACAAAGCCAGGTTGGCTAAAGCCTTGAGCAACCTGTTCTAGTGGGAGGTGTCCCTGCCCAGGGCAGGGGGTTGGAACTAGATGATCTCTCAGGTCCATTCCAACCCCTAAAATTCTATAGTTCTATTATAAAACTTCTTTACATATTTCATACAATGACAAATAGGTCACAAGTTCTTTCCCCTTCTTTGACTTCCATTAAACCCATTTTAGGGTTAACCCTGAGAAAATTTTCTTCTAGTTTCCCCAGACACAACGTTTTGTGGAAGTTCCACAGCAAGAGGCTTTTCATATGAAACAACAAATCTCCTTCCTTGTACCTGTTCTGCAATTTCCTGTCGTTTCTGTTCCAGGATTTTCTGCTGTTCATTTGTGTGATCCACAATATTTTTCCCTCCCACCAGGAGTTTGCTTTCCATTGTCTGAAAGGAAAAACCAGAGTCAGAAGTCTCTTAGTGACCATAGAATGTAACTCTCTTTATGGATACAACTTCTTCAGTGCAGCTCCCTTATTTACCCTTCTCTTTCAAGGCAGCTGATATAAGAATTACTATTTGTTACAATTGCAACGAAGCTGTGGGATTAATGAAACAGTAACTTTTATAGAACTAGGCACTGCTGCAATGTGTGGCCAAACGTGTGCTCCCCTGAGAAGAACTTGTTAACAATCTGTGAAAGCATGGAGCATGTTCTGTGCCCCAGCTTGTGAAAAGATGCATCATCACATTTTATTCTGCTGATTCCTTAAGATCTTACAAAATCAGTACATGAGAACAACAAAACAACTCATGAATACTCAAATATGTAATTAATGGTGGAAATTTCAACTTCTGGCTCGAAATAGTTGATTTTCAATTCTTTCAACCTAAACACAAATCACTATCCTGGAAACATCTTGTGAAATATCTTTCCAGATTGGAAAACCCTCCATTCTCCCCACAGCCCAAAGAAATTGCTTTCAAAGAGAATGACAAGGAAGAATTCTACCTTGATTTTAGCACTCAACATCTCTGTCGCTTCCTTCTCTCGCCTCAGGTCCTCCATTTTCTTCTCCTTCTCTTTCAGCAACCTCATCTTTTCTTCCGCTACCAAGCTGTGATCCTCAACTATAGCTTTCTTCTCAATTTCCAGCTTCTCTTGTTGCTCCCTCCAATAGTCATCTTTGTCATCTCCTTCATCCTCACCCTCTTCAGTGTCCTCCTCATCTTCCCCACCATCTCTCCTCCTTTCCCTCCTCTTTCTTTTGCCAATAGACCGTTTTTCCAGTTGTGCCTTGAGCCGAGCAATCTCTTCCTGGAATTCTCGTAGCAGAGCCTCCTTGGGATCCTCATTGACCTGTGGCTTGTTCTTGATGTTTTTGGCACGGTTGGCATACCTCAGTGTGGTCAGTGTCTCCTCTACATTGTAAGAAGCAGGGCCTATATTGGCCACCATCACAGTTTTGGCATTGCCACCTAGTGAGTCCTGAAGTAACCTGGTCAGCTTGGAGTCCCGGTACGGAATGTGTGTGCTTTTCCCATCTACTAGGGCAGAGATAACATTGCCCAAAGCTGAGAGAGAGAGATTGATTTTAGTAGCTTCCTTTAACCTCTCTCCTTGTGCTCCAGTCTTAGCCTGCCGCTCGCTGCCTGCAAGATCAACCAGGTTGAGCTTCCCAACACGGATGTGATTCTCTCCATCCAGTCCCAACTCGCTGCATTCGATAGTGATCTGGAAAATGGCATGAGATCGTGAGCTGTGTTCGTTCATGTTGGTGGCACCAACAGAGCGATTCTGGTTGCCCAAATTCATGATGTGCTCTATCTCTTTGACGCTTTTTGTAACAACCGTGGTCAAATCCTTAACAAACACCCCTGTGTCTGGTCTCTCCTTCAACTCCAGTCGCTTGGACTGATCCTTTGATAACAAGTCTCTGATTTCTTCTTGGTATATTTCCAAATAAGATGCTCTAACTAGGTATTGCTGATTTTGAGATCGTGAGATGTGGGTGAAGATGTGATCGAATGAGTTGGGGATGACTCCTCTCTTTTCGGGATCACCACGCACCCCTTCCATCGTATATGTTTTCCCTGTCCCAGTCTGCCCATAGGCAAAGATTGTCCCATTAAACCCTTGCAGAACAGAGTCCACAAGAGGTCTGAAGGTCTCATCATAGAGCTCGACCTGTTTGGAATTCCAGTCATACACAGCATCAAAGGTGAAAGTTTTAGGCAGTTCATGAGATGTTCCCCGTGGATTCTTCACTGAGACCTGCCCTAACTTGACATCCACATTGACAACCTTTTCATATGAAGCAGTTTTCTCTTTGCTGTTCATGGGTCGGCAGCGAACCACCACACGCACAGACTCGGAGCTCTTTGGCTTAGACATGACGGTGAGTCTGTGGCTTGTGTGATCCGACCGATGGATGATCCCGTGCTAGGAACCTGGAACAGAAACAAAGCAGGGATGTCTGAAGGCAGTTTGCTGCAGAGCACAACTTCTCACAAAGCCAAAAATTTGACTTATCTGTTGGAGCATCATTTTACGTTCACTAAGGTGCAAGGGACTTTGAAGAATTAAAATCACGTACGACATGAAAACTTTGTAAAGGTCTCAGCTGAGTATTATTTCACCAAAGCCTGTGCATCAAAATATATCATTTTTACAAGCTCTGTTGCAAAAAATCATCATCAAAAATTTCCTTGGGTTTGTGAGGGAAAACTCCTTGCTCTTCCTACAGAAGCACATGGTAGCTACCAGGGGGATGAGGAACATGCACTGAATTGACCAAACTGAACACTTATCCAGAATTTACTTTACAGCCTGAACTGTGAATTTAAACTGCTACAGGATTTTGGATAGTTACTGAATAAAACCATTTCCCTCCTAACTGACAGCTCCTGATAAAGGTGGCCTTCCTGTCTGACCCATAGCAAACACAAATTCTAGAACACCAACACAGAAAGAATATGTGAAATGAGGACAAACCCTGCAGAATTTCAAAAAACAACTCTCCTTCTACTTATCCTGAGGAGCTGTATACACAAACACACACTTCTCCTGCCACAGCTACCAGAGATATTCCAGTAAATCAAGGTCACAAGAGAAAATTTTTTCGGACAAGCTTCCATGACAACTGCTGTGTCACATATCTGCCTGTTTACACTGACAAGTACTCACACTAGGCACAAGTTCTGAAAAGCAGAGCATGGATTTATTTTATATATTGAATATCCAAAACACTATTCTGATGAGAAATGCCATTTTGTAAGCAACTGTGACAAATATTAAAGGACCAGAATTATATTAGGCTTGCCAGAGCTACACAGTCAACAAAAATGATGTCACACATTTGCTGCTGCTCTGGGTGTTTCTCCTCGAGGCAAGCTTGATCAGCTTTTAACACCTTTCCCCATTTCACTTGCAAGTCTCTTTTTATAGTCACAAACAACTTCTTTTACCCCTGATTTGGGCTATTTTCGTAACAACCTGTCACGAATCATCTCCAATTATTTTAGCTGCTGCGGTGAAGTTTACTGGAAACACAACAAATTGTGGTTCTTCTCAGACTTATCCAAGTGTATAACTGGACAATAAAACCAATTAGTTTGTGTTTGTATTCCCCAGAAACTCCAGAGCAATGTCTGAGCTGCCTGGAATGGCTCGACAGGGATGGCCAGAGGAGCTGGGAATGCCACTGTGTCATCTGCTCTTCTCCATTGGGAATTTATGAAATTAGTTCAGCCTAAAGTGACCTGGGCCAGGGACCTATGAGTCAAGGTCGAGGTTGAGATGGATGCACTTGAAGATGTGCCCCAAATGACCAAGAGAGGAGAGTGGAAAGAAATTGAAGCCTTTTTGTTTATTTCAGTCAACACAAGGTTGTGTCTGAAAAAATAAGCAATGCCACAACCTGAATACACGCTGGGGTAACCACTTCTCCTCAGAAGCTTCCAGGGAGCTGACAGCTCGGCCAGATGTGCCCCAGGCACACTGAGCTCTCCCTGGCCACCTGCCACTCCTCCTCCTGCCCTGGCAGGTGATGTCCTGAGGCCTCTTCACTTCCTGCCTTAAAGAGCTCAGAAATATTTCCTTGGAACTGCCCAAACCCTTCCCTCGTGTCTCCTCCGCACATCCCCAGGTCTCTCACTCGACACATTCCATTGCTTGTTGCCCTTCAAATCTTTCAAATATTTGTGGGTTCCTAATGTCCTGGTCGAAATGTTGAATTTTTCACTCCTTCCCATGCCAAACCACCCCTTATGCTGCTGTTTTCCTCTCTCCTCCCCACCGGACGCTGCAGGGGCTGGGCAGGACACCCTGGAGCTGGGCCAGCAGTGCCACCTCTGCCGCGGTGTGCCCATTCCTCTAGTGCCTGTGGTCACCTCGGCCACCTCTGTCCGGCTCAGCACGGCACCCGCGGGTGCTCCCTCCCCCGGGGGGTGCGGGACCGGGCGCGG